TCTCTCTTCCTATATGCGTTTCAAACCTCTTTCTTTTTCTTTCTCCCCTTGTTTCTTTTTCTCTCCCTCGTTGGCTCGTCGGTTGCCAGCCGATTCGTCTTGGAACGGCCCATTGCGCTGTTCTCGTTGCACGCAGAGTTCGCGTGAGACCGACGAGTCGACCCTACGACCCCGAAGCCGAGAAACGTTTCGTTTTGCCCTCTTTCGACCTTGCCTCCTTGTCTTCTTCATCTACCTGTCTTTCTCTCTCTCTCTCTCTCTCTCTCTCTCTCTCTCTTTCTTTTTCTCTTTCTCTTTCTCCTGAGCTTCTCTTTTACCTCGTTCACCACTGATATCTCTCACGGTGCGTTCGAGAAAAAAAAGAGAGAGAGAGAAAGATAGGACGAGATCGAAGAAATCAGTAGACAATTCATGGCTCATGTTCAAGCATGGTTCACGTGCCTAGTTATCAAAGATAGTGTCTGCGTTAGGTAGGTATTGCTAGTCTTAGCGGACCTTAGCGAACCAACTGTTACCATCACCTTCCCTTCTAATCGTGCTTCTGATCCTCTCCCTTTAGATGCACCGGTTATATTCAAGGAAAAATCAAGGTCGTTCTTGGTAGATAAACGCACATTTTGCTCGAAACCTTCTGCCTAAATCGTTACACATTTTTCACGGTACGAATTAATCGACTCTATTAAAATTGTGCACATAATCGTTATTATATCGCCTAACTGTGGCTCCTCGACAGTTTCTTTAGGTTTCATAATATCCTTAATCCTAAATAAATCTTTTTTCAGATTTTTATCATTATCTTACATCTTTAAAAATTTAATTGATCGAGATAGGTAAGCCGGTATCAACTAGACTCACAAATCAAATAAATATTCTTATATTATTAATTTGTTTTTAAAATATTGGGATAATTGATAGAAATAGACAACAGAAAATATTATCAAGACATTGAATTTAATCAGTAAAAAATATTCCTTTTTCTAATCGCTACAGCAATTCAAAGAAAAAAGGTAAAATAAGTGTCAAGTATTGTTGTTGATTTAAAAGTAATTTAACTTTGTTTTCTTTTTCAAATTATCAGAATGTATGAAAAAAATATAAAAGTTTTAACGTTTTGTTCTTAATTAAACGGCATTCCCCCTATTCTTATTAATGAATTCGTAGAAACACTCATCCATTTTTTAGAACAAAGTAAATTTTCTTAAGCTGAGCAAATCACTCTAAATGTTCAAGTATATTATATGTATACGTATAAAGAAATTTATTTATTATAATTACAGTACCTATATTTTTCAATATAAATAAAAAATAGAACAATACATTTTTTTTAATATTTAAATACTTTAACGACTTTTTTCTCGTATATATTAAATGCAAGAAAAAAAAAAAGATTAATTCAGAATAAACAGAAAGCAACCGTAGTATCTGCAAGAGCATTCAATGTTAAAGAGGAAACACGGTTGCTCTTGGCGTCGTGACAAAGCAGAATCACATGTTGCAGAACTTCTTCATAATATACAGCAGCAGGTAAGAGTAAAAATGATCAAAACGGAAGCCTTAAAGGAGAAAAACCCGCCCTTTTCGCTCACCCTTAACATACTCGTTTAATTTTCACAAACATTCAATGTAATAATATTGAAACAAATATACACATAAGCCATTCACAGGCTAAAATGATAACTCAACTATTAGAATCTTTTTTAAATTTTATTATAAAAAAACACATAATGAATAATTAATTTTTAATATTTAAAAAGAATATCCTCTCTTTATAATTAGACTTAACGCCACTAAATATAATAAGTATTATACAATTTTTATAACCATTCAACAATAAATGATACAAAAATGTATATTATTTTATCAATTTTCTCTGCTTTTTATTTAACGGAGTCAATCGATTTTGCAAATGAATAGCTGAAATGTATATTTATGTATACAAAATGCATACCTAAATATGCATTCATTCATTTATATTTGCGCTCACCTCCAAAAGTGTGGCACATAACCGGCAGGACACAAATCTCGACACTGGCCACAGGGTGCACCTTGATAAACAGCATTGTTCGACGAATAACCACTTGAAGGGGTATCTTGTCCCTGTGACAACATTCTGAGTAAACAAAAAAAGAAAATAAATTAATTCTGCAAATTAGTATAATAAATATACATAAAATTATAGGTATATTCGAATAATTTGATTAGAATTAATAAAAATACTCTAATTCCATATACATTGATAAAACCAATGTTTATGAATATATTATAGTCTAATTGTCAGTCATATATTATTTGTTTTTGAAAATAATTAAATTTCATAAGTAATTACATGAATCCAAAAAAAAGAGAAACTATAGAATGATAACAGTAAATATTTTTCTACATTTGATTTTTACCGTCATCATCGTTATAACTAAAAAAATTTCTTCAGAAGATAAATTCTGTTTACATAACTGTATTCATGCTAATATTTATTATTTTTGATAAAATGTTTTCTGATACAATAATGTTGTATTTCTACTGAAATTTCTCATATTACATTTTTATCATTAAACAAATTGTATAGATTTCCCGGGGCACTAAGATTGGGTAATATATATTTTGACTTCGTTGTTTGTTGTATGATTTCCCGCGCGGTCAATCTATAGAATACCCAAAGGGTTTTGGTCTATCTATAAAATGTGCTTCAGTGAAGTGTGTTAAGAGCAAGGGAAGAAGAGAGGGGTGTTGAAGTGATCTTCAGAGGAAGAAAGCTAAATCTTGAAACAATTTACCTGTTGTAAGTCAACCTATATAATTCTGCCTTCTTTCATATTTAACTCTTTAACTGCGGACGAATCCATCAATATAGACAGCGCGTTTTTCGCATGTCAGTCGCTTCGACTGGCTGTCTACCAGTGACAAAACCCGGAAATTTCATACCATTCTTACATTAAAGTTTAAAAAAATAAAAAATATCAATTTTTTTACTTATCTTAATTTAAGAATTAATCTATAAAACAGTAATAAAGATGTTATAGTACAAAAATACAGAGAACGTATATATACGCCTTTCATATATATACATGGACTTATGAAGGCGTATATACAGGGTGAATCTTGTAACTGGGACGGGTTATAACTTCTTTTTAAGTTCTATTTAAAAAATAAATGCAACTGCATCTAGCGGGTGCATCGATGCATTTCCAAAAAAAGTAAGGTCATAGAAAGGTAACATGTGTTGTGCCATATAACTTTTCCCTTTATTATTTTTTTCTATTGTTACTTAAAAAGAAGTTATAACCCGTCCCAGTTACAAGATTCACTCTTTAGACGCCTTTAGCAATCAAAGAGTTTTAAACAAGTCAATATGATTATTTTAATGTTTACCTAGTCATGTGACGAATTAAAGGATATCACTATAATAGGATATCACTAAGTAAGTATAAGTTTATATTAGGACTTTGAATATACAGATATATAAGTATCGTAAATAATTATAACTATCGTTCGTATGTAATAATAACGAGATCGAGACGACAAACGCTCGTTACATATATCTACTCCTCATTATGTCCTAACGATCGTAATATGGGAAATTTACAAAAGAGTGAGAGAGAGAAAGAGCGTGACATTTTTCACCAAATTTATACGTCGCACGATCCCCGAAGAGGAATTAATTAAAGGGCCCTATCTAATATGAGAAAATAAGAGGAGTTACGCCCATGGTGAATTAATAAAATCGAGGTCCGTAATTAACAAGTAAACGATGTCCCAGCGTGATCGCTGATCGTTATTGATTAAACGACACACACAATGTAATTACACCTCTCTGACTCAATTTTATTACGTTGAAAACAGTTCTCGCGCCTCATATCGACTAAATCGAATCTCACCATCAAATACATCCTTACTCTCTCTTTCTCTCTCTTACTTCCACCTTCACTATTTCTTTCTCTTATTATGCGCATAAATAATTTTCTTATCAGTCTGTAACGTCAATTTTTGATTTTCTTCTTTTCTTACTTCGCAAAAGTATTAACTCTTCACAAACTCAAAACGAATGATCAAAATAAGTATGCAGATATATATATATATATATATATATTTCTGCTCTTCTTCTTCTTAAGAAGAAGAAGAGCAGAATTCTTAATTTCTTTAATTAATATCATTAGGAGAATAGGATTTGTTAAGTATGAGTGCTTACAATTATAAATATAAATATAAATATATTTAAAAAATAAGACAAAAAATAACAAGTGTAAATGTAACTAACAATAAATAAAAAAAAAACTATTAAAAACTATAGCTATATATTATAGTATGTTGGACCACTTTTTCTAATTAAACGAGAATGAGAGTGAATAATAAGAGCAACAGAGTATATCTATACGTAAAATGAGTTAGGGACCTGAGCACTAGTAATTAGTAGTTTTTTGCATCATTAACGTTAAGTATGCCAACATATCTTATACGTAGTATATACTAACATTGACGATAATCATGGTATTTTAATGTCTTCGTGATCGCCAAGCACTTATGAGTGTTTTCCTCCGCGTACTTTATAATTCGCAAAGCGACCAATTAACATTCTCCGAAAAGTGGAAGAAAAAGAAGGTGCTTTTAACGAGATCGAAATACTTTCTAAACCATCTAAACCATAATATCTCGTTTTTATTTGTTCCTATGGTTATATTCGTAGAAAATCGTTTACTTTTTTCCCTTTCCTGTTACTTTCTTCGTTTACATTGTTGTCTTTCAACTTTTACAATCAATCGTAATTTCGTTAAGGTTCTCATCGAAACTAATTACATATAATAATTTCCTCACTAAAACATAAAAGAAATAATTTCCAGGAGATTCAAACTATCGCACATCTCGTTCAATCTTCGTCTCTATAAATACTTTCTCATGAAAATAGTCATTGCTTTCACTTTTACACATAATCAGAAAAGGAACACTACGAAATATGATTCGCGTTCAAACTCTCTGGTAACTTTCTCGCAAGATAAAGACGTACAATATCCCGCTGTGTTCGGTTGCTCTCGGAGGATGCTTCTCTGTAAGCAGCGAGAAAAGAGTACTTCGAAGGTATTCTGTTTCTCTTTTTCTCTCTCTCCCTCTCTTACTCTGTGGAAGTCAAACAAAAGCAGAACAAGTGCTTATAGAGTATTCATTTAATGTTTGACGGCTTTCGACTATGGCAAAGACCGTAACAAAGTATAATAAATTAAAAATAGAAGGAAGAAAAGTAAAAATATTCTTTGTATGTGTGTGATATATACAAAAATTTAATTAATAATAAATATCAAATGAAATAAACTTCTTCATTCCATCATAGTTTTTCAATTAAAGTAATTTTAATAAAACCTTTAATACAAAATTATAAATTCATCTGCTTGCTTCGTCATTCATTAAGGCAGGATTCTACTTTGTAATTTTTTTTTTTCAAATTTTTTTTTTCGATTATTCGTAAGTAAATACATTTAAGAATACTCTCTGAAAATTTCAAAACGATCAGAGCATCCTAACTGTACTTTTTCGTCCCTCGAATCTACCCGTGCGAGGGTAAAAAAAGTATTTAAAAAAACTTTAAATGCGTTTTTCTCGGAATCACATTTTTGAACCGCGTGTTGTAAAAATCTCCAAAACTAGCTATTCGATTCGTCTGAAATTTTTACCACATAATCTGTACACATATATCAACCGGTGGTAGCAGATTTATAAAAAAATTTTCATTCTAACTATTTTTTTGTAACAAAAAATGAGAAAAAAAAATGAGATTTTTTTGATAATTTTTTTTCAACTGACGCCATTTTGTTATTTTTGCTTGTAAATGAAAAAATCTGCTACCACCGGTTGCTGTAGTCTTTGTGAACATAGAACTATTTGAGTTTTTCATTTCAGATAATCCGATGTCAAGATTTTTACAACACCGCAAAGGCTAGACTATTTTTAGGCGTTCAGTTCAAGGGCCTTTCCAATGTATATAGAGCGTATAAAATAAATTAAAAAAATTTGTTAATGTACTTTAAGAGTATATTTATGAAGCACAACAAACCCTACATCAATATCTTTCTTAGTTTTCTAATAAAAAATTGACAAAAATACCTATTTTTTCGAGCGACTAAAGTAGAATCCTGCCTTAAAAAAGCGTGATCTTCCGAAATAAGTAAACATAATTAATGCATATTTATGTAAAAAGCTATCTTTTAAATAAAAGGCGCAACATGACACAACCCCGTTATTTCAAAATGGGCTAGCTTTGCTAATAATTAATAAAACAATATTAATTTTAATGTAAACAATTATTTAACAAAGAATAGAAGTTTATTATTTTTCTAGATTTTATAACATAAGAGGGGATTCCTTTTTTTTTTATTTCAAAGGAAATTTAATTTTCTTATGGATTTGTGGTTTCTTAAGAATTAAAAATGTCATTTAATTGATTTTGAAAATGGCGTAACTCCAATCCTAGCCATCAAAAAATATTATTTCTTCAATAATACTAATTATGCTAATTGAGATAATAAATTTGACACATTTAGAAACCCAAACACATTATTCTACTATATATGTCATCTATTATCTATATTTTTAAATTTAATCCAACGCAAATCCTTCAATACCACGATTCGAACATAAATGGACTTATGCCACTTCCAAAATAAACGATTTATTTAATGTATTCCCTGATATCTATCATAGAAAACAAAAACGGCAAGAATCGAAGATTTCCTCTTGAAACACAAGGAGAAATAAAAAATTATTCCAGATGTGTAATGTGTTTACTGATTCAGCCAGTATATTGATAATATGTATGTACGCAAGCAATAAATTCGACAGGTTACTCTCGGTATGGATAAGGGATCTTCGATCGAGAGCATACACATATACGCTCATACTCGTGCCAAAAAAGAAGAAGAAGAAGAAGAAAAAGAAGACGAAGATGAAGAAGAGGAAGAAGAGATAAAAGAAAAGAAGAAAGCTTACGTATCTACCTATTGCTTTCCTCTTCGTACCAGTCAAGAGATGCTGTGCCGGCAAATCGGAGCGCGCGTTACACGGAATCCTTTTACTCGAGTTCCCCCTCCCGAAGATTTTCTCAGCTCCTGAACGTTCTCCAGCACCTCTTCAACTTCTAGATATGTTGATGTCTTTTATGTGGTAACAACAACGACGACGATAATTCCAACAACCATTGACTACTAAACGTCGGTTTCGAAATATTCTTCTGATCTGCTCTTTATTTCTCTTTATCTCACCTTTCTCACTAACACCAATACTCAAGCTTTTAACGTGAACCACAACACTACCTTCACCAGCACCTGCACAAGCATAAGCACCTGCACCTGCATTCGCGAAACGAAGAACCGGCAAATCCTGGCGTAGCAAAGCTACGCAAGATGATCGATGTTCAATTAGAAGGCTGCTAATCTCCAAGAAAGACAACGACAACGATAACGACCGGAATAACGAAAAGAAAGACAACGACAACGTTGAAAACGATGGCATTCTTGCGACATCGTCGTGCACTGCACTCCCGAGACGAGCCAAACGCTCGCTCGTTCCCTTGCTCACTTGCTTGCTTACTTGCTTCTTAACTCCTTTCTCTCTTCTTCCTGCCTTGGTCCCTCTCTCTTTCTCTTTTTTTCTTTCTCCTACCCTTTCTTCATCATTTTTTCCTCTCCTCTCGTCCCTTTATCCTTTCCTTTTCTCCATTACTCTCTCTCTCTCTCTCTCTCTCTCTCTCTCTTTCTCTTTTCTTCTTTTTTTTTTTATTTTACCGTAAAGATAAAATTCGGACGATCAAAAAACGTGGCCGACTTTCACGACCGCGAGGCCGATATTTACGATTTAATATTTAATACGTTTATACAATTTAACCACAAGAGAGAAGAAAGATATACGAAAAGAGATAAAAAGGAAAGGAGAAAGAAGAGAGAACTGATAATGAAGCATTTATTAAGACTAACAAATGGGTCTTTTCTTTTATATTCGAGATTTGCGAATTAAATAAAAAAAAGAAGGATGTAGCAAAGAAAAAGGAGGAAAAGATAAAAAAAATTCTTGGTTGTCGATATCGATTCGATGATCCCACAATCCCGCGTTAACACACGCACAGCCAAGAGACTCGAGCTGGACTGACCGCCAAGATGAGGCCCTTTTCCCCCTTCTACGTCTCCTCCTTCTTCTTTTCTCTGGCTTACAATCTCGGCCCGAAACCCCCTTTCTCCCCCACCATTCGCATGCCGCGGGGCCTTCTTCCTATATACGCCCTCCCATTCCTCTACCTCCTCCTCTTCTTTATTCTCTTCTTTATCCTCCCACCGTGATTCTTCACTCTATCTTTCTCTCGCTCGCAAATTCATTATATCCTTTTCCTTCTTCCTCGCGATACATCTCTCTCTCTCCCTCATGGTTCTTCCATACCGGCGAATCTATAAGACACGTGTAATTCAATCGGATAGCCACTTTTTAACAAAAATTAAGTAGAGTAATTATAAGGTATATAGATAATTTTATTAAAAAAAAAGATTATACATCTTAAATCAGCGTTTTTCAAACCGTGTTCCTCGGAACATTAATGTTCCGTGAAAAAATTAATTGTATTATTTTCATTTGTTTTATTGAGAATAAATGTGTGTTATGTTTTCTTAACTCACAACTATTTGCTTAATTTGGTTAACATTAATTTACCCTATAAAATTACTAGGACTATTCTTTACAGTTTCAGAGTTTGTGAAGTATTACGTCATAAGAATAGTCTAAGAAATACTAATTCATTATCAAAAAAGAAATTATATATATAATTTCTAGTGTAAAAAACATGTAAACCAACATTAGTAAAAACCATTCAAGAATGAATTATCTATAGAGTGATTGATTACTGACTGATCGTTTAATTTTATTGTTATTAATAGTGAATAGTTTTTGTCTATTGAATTTAACTGTGGGATTTACTACTATAAATTGTTAATAATGCACTTTTAACAGACTTTTGCGTCATATCTGCATTTTGATATACTTATCAAATATGATTAAGTTATATATACACAATTTCTTGTATATAAACAGTGACTCTTATAAAAGAATACAATTGCTTCATAAATTTGAGGTTATATGAATTAATATTTTGAAAAAGAAATGTTTAAGAGAGGTTGCAATTCTATAGAAAAAATTCTTTTCTAATTGAAACTATTAAAAATATTTCAAGGTAATTTTCCTTTTTATTTTCTTCTTTTAATAAAACAATTATGTCTCTTTATAAAGTGAAACCGTTTTCAAAATTATTTCAAAGATCTGTTCCATAAATAGAAATACATTTATACATGTAAAGCTTACAACTATGAAAGTTACTAGATTATTATAATGTCTTGTTTATAAAATCAATTTAATTTCATTACGACTTTTAATAATATCGCGGTATAAGTCATTGTGATTATTTTTAAATTGACATTTAACGAGGATGGAAATAAAATCTTTAACTGATTTTCAAACTTCTATATTAGTCTTTCTCAAATACAAGTTTTTTTAGTATCAAGAGACTCTCTAAAATAAAATATTTTTTATAGAGGAAAAATAAAAAATAAAAATTTTTGTAAATCTATGATGATATCCTACATTTTGATTAATTACAATTAAGAACGACGAACTTAACATGAAATTGAGGAATTAGCGATAATACGATAATACCATAGTGATCATGAATGCCCAGGTACCGAGGTATCAGTATATTTGTTACATAAAGTTATTAATGTATATGGTTAAATTTACTCGTTTGAATTATTTATATTCATTGTTACTTGATGATAATCATGTAATATATATTAATATCTGATGCTACACATGTACATTATCATAGCGCTAAACAACGTGAACATTAAATTCGTAATTGTGTTTCATATTTGAATCCTTTTTATAATACAAAGATTCAATTTCTTTTCAGTATTTAATAATGAAACACGATGAAACTAAAAAATAAAATAAAGTTCAAGAAAAAACTTTACTATAATAAGAAATCTATACAAATGATCTGGTAGATTAATGCAATACTTAAAAGCGCGCCCTTTTCAAGTAATGCCATTTAAAGATTGATTTCACGCATGCTTCGAGGCGCTGTTTCCACCTCGCAAACGTCACGGGTTCAAGGTGCGTAATTTTATATATGAGTTAGATAATAAATACGACACCAATGTTTTTTTTTATTTTCCAGATCATATTGAAAAACAAATCTTTTACGTCGTTTTATTAAGGAGGAGTGTTATGATTCGATCGTCTCACGTGACGCACTTTATGAAAAATGGCGTGAAGTTGGCAGGAAGATGGTTGATCAGAATTACGAAAGAGTGGACGGTCCCTCGCGGGGTTACCGCTTCCCATTCCTTTGCAGAACTACATTACTTCGCTTTTCTTCGTTCACCGGAGTCAACGAAACATAGCAATATAATGTACGATATCAAGTGGATTATACCTAAACTCCGAACTCCAACAAAATTATGGAACATAGCAAGCAGTATAACCTTCGCCGCTGTTGGAATATTTTCAAAAATTCTTATAGGTATGCATCATTGTTACTATATACCATACATATTACGTAGTATTTTTTTATTTAATCTATTCTTTAAAATCACTTTTCTACATTTTCTCTATATTTTCCAAAATCTTGTGTTTTTTTTTCATATTTTTTTTTTATATTTTTTCTTTTTTGTTAATTTTCACAAGAATTTACAGAGAATTATCTATTATTGTTGACGACTATTTTTAAACAATACTGATTTTATTTATTCTTTAATGATTTGATCTCTCACTTGTACGAACACATTTGTTCATTTTATTTCTACTTTGGTCTATTATGATCTATTATATATTTAGTGATTCCTTGTGAAATCCTTTAATTCGTGAAATGACTAGCTGAACCCTGAAATAACTACACTGACCTATTTAAATATGAAAGAAGGTAGAATTACTTGTTTCAGCTTGATAATATATGAATATACAAAAGCTGAATAGTTAAAGTATTGAAATTGAAATTAAATCCATAGATAAGATCGGATGAGACAGCACAACTAATAGAACATTAGTTTGTAAAGTTCAAGAAGAGATAAGAACGGATAACTAAAAGTATTATTGTAGAAAAAAATGCAGACTTTAGACAGATTACATTTCAATCTTATATTTTAACTACTCGCCTCTTGTGAATTTATACGTATATAATCTTATGCATAACATAAAACTCTACTAATTTTAATGTATAAGAAAATTCTTTTTATATTCTTTTTCCCAAAAACATCTAGTTATTATGGGCTAAACTTAGAATTTTTATATTTATTATTTTGTATTTAATTATTTATTATTTATTTTTTAAATAAATTAATTTATAATATAAACTATAAAAATATTATAAACTTCAATAATTTATCTTTCTTAAATGAAATTTTTTTAATTATTACATGTAAGAGTTATGCGTATGTCTGTCCTACGTGATTAGATAAAGGTAATTTTCCTTTACTTATCTTAATACTTAAATTATTATTAATGAATTTCTCGCTTTTTTTTTAGAAATAATTACATAATTATAGATAATATACAATATGTATAAATATTTAAATATAAGAAATAATATAAAAATGAATTAATTTTTGTTGTTTCATGTCAATATAAAATTACAATATTAATCCTATTTAAGATTAAAAAATTATTCAAAATTCAATTCAATATTAAAAATCACTTGATTAACTTAATTTGATATAATTTACATTACTTAAAATTATTTTTTAACTACTTTTTAATGTTTATAAATAATTATCAATTTCATTAAGCACTTATTTTTTGTTACTAAAACAAGATTCTATACGAGCTGCTTACAGGCCAAAGCAATTAACTTCACTTTTATAATATTTTTAAATTTTACTATCAAAGTACTCTCTCTCTCTCTCTATTAGGATTTAATTTTTATATTTAAAATAAATGTCATTAATAATGAAATACTCAAAATTATTCAATAAGAACAAATTTTATATCGGTTCAATATTAAATAATAATTTATATTAATTTATCCATTTTTTTTTTTCATTTTTTTTGTTGAGTTAAATGATTTGACATATGAATGATTCATGTGTAAGTAATAATAATATATATATATATATATATATATATATATATATAATATATTATATAATAACTTTGTTTTAATATGAAAATAGAAATATGAATATATATGTAATACAAGTATCATTTTTTTAATAAAAATATTCTTTTGCATTAAGAATGGTTAAATAAAGCATTGGTGTACAACAAACATATCATTAACCGGGCCTTAGACGAACGACCAAAAAATGTTCCACTCATCACCGTCTCAAATCATCACAGTTGTTTCGATGATCCTGGCATATGGGGTAAGTTCAAGTTTTATTTATATCACTGCAAAAGCAAAATGTATGAAGCTTCGATCAATTTATCAATTATTTTTATTGCACAGCGCATTTGCTTGTTACATTGAACGTCTAAATAAATTATACATGTGTACAAATACGTACATATGTTATAAAGACTGTTTCCCTGTCTTTCTTTTTCCTCCCCTTTCTGTTTTTCTCTTTTTCTTTATCTTTTTCTCTCTTTTTTTCTTTTTCGTTTCTTGTATTCTGAATATGCCCGCAAACTCTCCCTCTGAGACATATATAATCTTTTCTTTCTCAGAATGACGTCGCTAAGCGATCGAATGAAAGAATTAAAGACAGAAAATCTCTGAACTCATTTAGCCACACTGGACCTGAGACATTTGCTGAATCGTCGTAAGATGAGGTGGTCGCTGGCTGCACATGACATTTGTTTCACGAATGTTTGGCATTCCTACTTCTTTATGCTTGGCAAGTGCATACCTGTCATACGAGGCAATGGTGTTTATCAAGAAGCTATTGACTTCTGCATCGAAAGGCTGGCTTCTGGAGATTGGGTCCACGTGTTTCCTGAAGGAAAAGTCAACATGTTTAAAGAAAATATGAGGTATATATATTTGTCATTACTTTTATTTTAATTATTCATATATTTATTTTTGCTTTTTGGAATAAATAAAAATATTATCTTTGAGAAAAAAAATTAATCCTTATACTATACCTTTAATCTATACCTTAAACTAAAACTGAAGAATAAAATCAACAAATACATCCTAATATTGTTACAAAACAAAAAGTACTAAATATGTGTGGGAAACTTTACATAACAACGGTATCATCTGAATTTATCAGTTTTTATTGTATAATTACAAAAACACAATATTGAAGTAGAATGCCTTTAGTTGTTATATAAGCAATGCTGATAATTGAAGTGTAAAAGGTTAAATATTAAGAACAATCATAAAAAAGTACATTTAATTTTTTAGGTTGAAGTGGGGCATTGGAAGATTAATATTAGAATCACCTGTAACACCTCTAGTGATTCCTATATGTCATCTTGGCATGGATCAAGTGCTTCCAAACGAACCACCTTATATGTTTAAAACACGAAAAAAGGTTACTATGAATTATGGTGAACCTATAGATTTTAGTGAAATGTTGAAGAATTTAAAAGAAACTAAAGCCACAGAAATAGAGGCCAGAAAAGCCATCACAGATCGTATTCAAGAAGAACTTTTAAGGTAAAGCTTTCTTGAAATATGTTTCTTTTTTACTGTATTTTTATTGAATTCTAATTTTATTTGTATTGTAATTTACAGATTAAAGGCAGCTACGGAAAAACTTCATGAAAAATTATGACAGCCGATACAATTTCGCTGATAATTTTTTCCTAGCCTTAATTATATATATATCAACAATAGAAACATGAAAAAGTATTGATGAAGATATACATTTAAAATTTTGCATATCACATTACTAATATTAACACAGTACGAAGTTAGATAAAACTATTCGTTTATAATATATAATTTTTGTTATATATTTCTTTTTGTTTTTTTGGAGTTTTCTCTGAATATTTCTTTAACATATGCATGATATTTACTAATTTCAAATGCAATTTATTTGTTAGTCATTTAGTATATGTATATATTATTTAATGCAATAATGATCAAAAGGCAAATAGGAAAAATTTATCAATATATTTAATCTGAATCTTCGTAAATAAAAAACATAATTTTTTAAGATTTAAAATGTAGATAATTTAAAAAATCCTATGACTTGTATTTTTAGTATGATTCGATGATTTAAAATTTATTTTAAGATAAATTATTAAAGTATCGATATAATTTCTTATTAATACAGTTATGATTGAAAATATATATAGTTATATATAGCCTTATAATTTATAATAACTCATTGAGGAATTATAACGAAATTAATTATTGTGAAAATAATTTACTACTATTAGCTACTCACAATATTGGCAACTACGATGACAACTATATTAAAATAAAATAATAATTCTATTGCAATTACTCAGTGTATAATTATCTAGAGGAATGTACGAATTTAATTATCAGCTTTTAAAAGCTTGTTCCTAATAGTAAGTTTATACCAATAATACAATTATAACGTTTTTTATTATTTGTTGATATTCATTCTCGTAAAGTATAGAAATTACTTTTTTTATACAAAAGAAATCAATGAATCATTTCAAACTAATTAAAAATAAATATAATATTATAACATACAACTTTACAACATAAATACTATTTTTATATATGTACGAAATAATAGACAGATCTTTTAACATACAATTTAGTATACAAGTGTTTTACATGTATAGTAAAATCTATATAAAATAAATATTCAAGAAATAATATTTATAGTAATTTAAAAAGGTTTTTATACAAAATAGAACATTTATGTTATTACGATTTTTATTATTTCTCAGTTTAAAGGAATAGAGACACCTATATTTACAATAATGCTTCACAGTAAAGATCATTTTTATAATCTTGTAATATTTCTCTAATTTATATTGTTTTATAATGTTTTTTTATTTATTTATTGTATGTTATTATTTTAAAGAAACGTATTGGAAACCAAATATATAAACTTTAGAATAGTTTGAAATTGATTACTAATGAAATTAATGAATTATGTATGCATAATTTATATTTGTTTTTATTAAAAAAGTATTGTTGAAAACCTGTTACATTTATTAATAATATATATAATTAAAAGAAAAACAAAATATTAACATTAAATTATAATAGTAATCAAATAGTTATCAAATTAATTCTTATTTAATGAAATAACATTATCAATATTGTATAGATTATTTTTTAAATGTCAATAGAGCATTTATTTTAAAATTTGCTTTCACGTTACTGTAAGTATAAGTTTAGTTATATTTATACTTTGTATATTTCATTATATATGGCTTTTTGTATGTGTCATTTTTAGTATAATCAAAACTTTATTATTGTAACTATTGTTATTTTTTTTATTGTTTTATTTATTATTTCTATTAAAATAAATGTATGTAACAGCTATAAAAAGATCTTTGGCTAAGTCAAAGCATTAAAATTCTCTCACATTTTATTTTCTAAACTGATTTGAGTTAAGACAATTTTAGTTTCTTCAATGTATAAGGATTTTTTCTTAAAATTTGTCATTATACACTATTATTATATATGTTTAAGAAATGTATTTTGTTTTGATATGGAATAATTCGAATATTTTTTAACGTTCTTGAATACATCGACGTAACTATGGTAGCACAATAACATTCTACTATAAATTAATATTTTCAATATATTTGTGTTTCTGCTTAAGTAAGTTGTACAAACTACTTGACATTTGGATACAATTATTAGAGCCATACATATAATATAGTTGTTTCTATAATTTTTAGAGTGACATCAGAATATATATATATGTATATATAATTTTATTATAATAATAATAAAAATAATAATTGTTAAGAAAATCTGAAGATAGTTGCTTTTTTGTTAAATATATGAATCTACCTGTTTAAAGTGTCACTAAAATTTTGTTTCAATCGTTGTACACAAGTATATCAACATTGAAGCAAAAATGAATTCTTTTCATATTTATTAAACTCATTAAAATACAATTTATCATGAAATTGTCTTCTCTCAGTAGTCTTCATTTTTGACTTTAGAGACATTTCAAAGCCTTACATACAAGACACTTATGCGTATTAAAATAATATTTATATTATATTCTCCGATTTAGATGATCGATAGTTAAAACAACATTCAATTCTTATCCTATTGAGATAGTATATTCTATAAACTAATATTATCATAAATTTATCAATGCAATAATTACGTATGTCTTGGCACATTTTTCTATTTATGAAATTGGTAATGGTCTTTTATAAATGATACAAAAACGACATACGATACTCTTCTCATCATACATTTCGCATACATAAACATAAATTACGTATTTTTATCATTAAGTATAAACATTCAATAAAAAACAAAATAAAACTAACAAAAGAAATAACTAGAATAAAGTATTATCACACTCTTGACACATATTGTTCTTTATCTATGCATAATATTCCATAACAAGAAAGTTCTGGTTTATTATTCTGAAATATCTAGAATAAAAAAAGAAAAACAATTTGATATAAAAAATATTATTATATATTTTTAGCAATTTCAAATACTATTAAGATATGACATAATTGCTCCAACTATTATATCTTTGTTCTTGGACGGTTTTTAAAAGGAAAAGACAATAAAAATACTTTTTTTGTAAGATTTTGATAAAAACAATTGATGTTTAGATTTTCACTATGTTGCCTATATAAATATGAATTCAATTTAAAAAGTTATAGAGATATATACATATGTAGTCCTATGTAAGCACTTCTTTTAGTTATTGATGTTTATTTCTATCTGGTATTTTATATGCATATTATAATGTACACAGACAATAGGAGATAAGAAACCAATCATATTCATGTAATCATCAAGTTTTTGTTATCTTTGTTAAGATTATCATTGTAATCATCAAGTTTTTGTTATCTATACTCTATAATACATATATAAAAGTGTTCCAGTTTTATTTCACAAAATTTAACCAGCATATTTTATAAATAAAAATAAAAAGAATATTATATATAAACATGAATTCCTAAATGTTTAATTAAAAAATTATGGAAAAAATACGAAATGATAATGAATTAGTATTTTATTGACATAATATAAGGATTATTTAAATCTATTGATTTATATCGAATATAAATATCTATTTGAATATGCAATAATAATATATTCGGACCTACCAATATCTCTGTATAATATGAAAAGTGTCCGTCGAAATTGAACCAATTGAGGTGGCGCCACATTAGCATCATGGTAAATTTTAAAGGAAGCGCCAAATATTATTAGAGTAGGATTGAGAAATAAACAATTACAATACACTTACAATTGCTACATTCATACCATACCAAGTGTCTACACCAGCGCCATTCTGGAAGGTTTCTGAACTGTTATTGACAGAAAACGCTGGACACTTTTTCACATTTTCTTCCATAAGAGATTTTACTCCTTACCTCTACCCTCCATAATTCGGACCTAAATTTTTATCTGAAAGATTACCTGTACAGTTTTTTTTTTTTAATTTCCTACTGAATAGCATATAGGTAGAATTGATAGGGAGTAATTCATTATTATTTTGTCAACATTTATGGATCTAATTAAATGGTTATTTCGTATATTATGCAAAACTTTTTTTTATTTCACTTGCATAAATATAGGCTTTTTCTATGGCGTATTTTTAACGCTTTTTAATCTGCAACAAAAATCTTGAAGAAGAATAGTATTAATGAGTGGGGAACAGGAAAAACTTTCAAAAACCTATTAGATTTGGAATTTGCAGAAATAAACCCCATGAATGGATTAAGAAGACTACGGGTCAGAGGTGTAAAACTGAAAATTAAATCGAAAAGAGATTACTAGAAGATAGTAGAAGATAGGTAATAAATTATATTTTTCGTAGTTACTAGTCCTGCATTCATAATAATGGAAAATTTTGAAATGAAATTATAATTTGAACCAACACAATCTATTCCTATATGGTATCAAACAAGAAAGCAATTAGTTGTCAACTCTTATTTATGTTATAACTTTTTAATAAAAAAATTTCAAGAGTTCATGTGTACATATATAATTTCTTCTTTTTTTTTACTCATAGAATGTGCTGATAAAATTTGGTTGAAAAGAGGTGGAACAGCCTATATATATATCTTTTAGAATTTTCTTAGAATTTTGTTATAATATAGGTGGTTACTATAATTTGATATACGTATAATATAAGTTTAGATACATTGCACACAAAATTTCTCTGAATACAATAATAAAAGATATATAAATAAATATATTAACATTTATATTATATGTATTTCCTTTTTTATATGATATGATTAAATAGCATATGTAATATAAGTTTAGATAGATTGCATACAAAATGCTTCAATAAAAAAAAGAAAAGATAAAAGACACATAAGGACATACTAATATTCATATTTCATATATCTGTATTTCTTAACACGATTAATTAAATATCGTATTTATCTCGTATGTGTATTCGTCTTAATATTTGTCTCTTTCAAACATATACTTTATTTTGAAATATTATATAAAGCATTTCATAAATTATTAATATTTTTCAAAAAAATTGCATGATCATATATTTCTTATTTTATAGTTTTTTTAAATTTTACGATTTATTCAAGATCTTTTAATTAGAATACTGTATATGTAATTATATATTTAGATATATATATATATAGTAGTAGTATTTGCAATACTAAATAATTTAAAAATATTGTACTTAAATTTTTTTACATAGAACAAACATTTTTTTAACACTTAACGGACGGGTCGAATCTGCTCTGTCTTTCTTAGTTTCCGGGCATTTTTCAGGAGAATTAAATAAACATGAATGTATGGATTTAAAGCGTTGTAGTTTTATTAAATCAATTATATTTCTTATAATATTTTATAACAGTATTTATACCTGTAATTGATGATATCATGAAACAAAAATTTTAACAAAAAAAAACCGACTTAAAAAGAAAATTATTCCAAAACAAATTAATATGCACTAAAAAGTAAAAAAATAATTGCGTATTCTTCTACAACTTAATAATCAACTTACTTTTTCTACTCATCAATATGTAGGTACGATCTATGTGTTTACCACGCAAGAAGGTAGGTAGGTACCTACCCAAAACCTACCGACTCGGATTGATTCACGATCGCTTATCAAACAAAACACCTGAATAAAAAAAGAATCATCGAAATCGGTTGGCGTGATATTGAGTTATTCGTCCATTTGTCGCGCACATACTAAATGTAAATTTAAGACTTATATGGTTTTCTCATGGATGCCATTGTCAGAATTAGACCAAATTGAAATAGGACCACACGGGAAGCATTAGCTTTCAAATAAAAAAAAAATCATCAAAATCGGTTAACCCAGTCGAAAGTTCTGAAGTAACAAACATAAAAAAAAATTCAGTTGAATTGAGAACCTCCTCCTTTTTTGAAGTCGATTAAAAATAACAATGAACATAAAAGAAAACCCTAATGCAACATACTAAAAATTTATGGAAAAACGTAAATCTACGTGGCCCGTCCTAGGAAGTCACAACAGAAAAACGTAAATCTACGGGGCCCGTCCGTTAAGTGTTAATTTAATAAAATCACATGTTCTTTTAAGAAGAAAAAATAACTTTACTTACGAAATAATTTGTTCTTTGTGAGAAGGTTTTTTAATGGTTACCATTAACAATTCTACGAAGTTTGCTTTTATCAAAAGAACAGATACTTCCGAGTAAAGCTGAACGTTCGTTGCCTGCTTTCGATATACGTGGCTCTGTTCCACCAGAGGACACAGGTACTGGTAATGGATTGATGTTTTTAGTAGGTACATCAGCGTGTGGCATTTCTGTAGAACCTTAGATTTAAAAAATATCAATGTTTATTATCTTTATAACGACATGAATTAAGTTTTTGTATACTATATAATTTTATAAGTCTTGAGAATATAAATATATATAAAGTAAATTATAAACATTAACTAAATATATTCATGTGAAGATACTATATAATACATTTTTTGCTATAAAAATATATATAAAGTTTTAAAAAAAAAAGGTTTGCAGAACTATAAAAACATAGATTAATACTTGTTAAGCCGACTAATTAATGCTTAATTAACATAGGCTGAAAAATTGACTTCGACAGAATTAGAAGTGATTTTCAATGTTTGTAATAAGAATGACACTTCACATCACCCTATATAATGTGTCAAAATTAACCTCTGAACGTTCTTTTACCTTAATATTTACAAACAGTATTCTACATGTTTTGCTTAGCTTAATAGGTACTTATTTATAATTGTTACTGTAAATCCTGTATATTATTAATGTGAATTGTAAATTTTGAAAGTAAACTCAAAAAAAAATTAAAAATATATTTAAATTAAAAGACTAGCAAGGCCATATAACCAAGGCCAAAGTTTTATTTGAACATTATTTTATAATGATTATAAAAAGAAGTATATTTTTTATCATGTATTTGCCTGACATGTATTTCTATATTTGTTAATATAATATATGTAAGATACCATTTATAAATACCAAAGTAAGAGTAAGATAAACAATTCTTGTTAATCTTCTATTTGACTAAACATCTTTTAATTAGCTTACTAATTGTAAGTTTTCTCTTCCAAGTTCTGAAATTTTTTGTTAATCCTTTGCGGTTGGCAGATTTCGCTTTTGAGAGTACCAGCAGTTCGGAGCAAATCTAACGTTTCACAATTAACTTTCCAATTTGTTGAAACTGATTTGTTGTGTTTTTACTACTTATAATACGTAAGAATACACAACATTTTTAATCTCTGTAATGTTTTAAAGAAAGGTATTTTGCGAAAAAATCACCGATTTGAAGTCCTGGATTTTGAGTACAAGTATCATAGTACGATTTAAAAATGTTCCTGCTACAGGAATACCGACCGCAAAGGGTTAATATTCTATTTATATTTTTATCATGCATAAAGGTTTATAAACAAGAAATATTATTAAAATAACTTTCATATAGTGTATATGTTTCTTAATATATATAAGGTATTTAATTCTGTATGCATATATACATGCGATGATATGGAATAAATTTAACAAACATGAATGCACAAATGAACGACCTACGTGAAAGAAATGACCGTAGTATGCGCCATCAACTTTTGTGCCCAGCTGATTAAAAAAGTGAACATTGATTAGTATTAATGAAGGTAATAGTAATAGCTAAGGTGAACTTACCAAGTGATGGAGGCGTTAACGTTCCAACACTAGTAGCTGTAGACGTACTCGTAGGGCTATCAGGTCTTTCTGAATTTTTACCATTTATTTGTTTTGTTCCATTTGTTCCCAATTGATTAGACATTTGTTGTTCCTGTGCTAATTTTTGCTCCTTTTTCTAATACAAATAATAAAATTTCCATCAATATAAATCAAATGAATATACATATATCTATATAAAACTAAGAATTTTACCAATTTCTGTTTCCACTTTTTCCTTTCTTCATCGGAACTCATCATTCCTTGAACTCTCACAAGTCTCTTTTGATGTCTAACTACCTTTTGTTCTTCTCTCAACCTTTGTTCTGCCTTATTCATTGCTTCTTGCAAAGCTTCCTTCAAATGACTACTAAGCTTAAAATGTGGTTTTTCTATAGAACCAATGGCAAGACTTGCACGATGTACTGTTTCAAAAAATGGATGTTCTAGCAAATGCTGGACCTTAGGCAAGTCCTGTTTGAGAGCCTCTGGAGATAAAATAACCTCCAATAGATTTTTCAACATTATATCGCAATTTGGCATTTCGGAACACATTGCTTCCAATAATGGTCTGCCAAATGCCATTTCATATAATACATGTCCAAACGAATAGACATCAACTTGAGTCTAAAGAAAGTTACTTCAGTCATTTACATAGAACGATTCGGCATTAATTATTTAGTATTTAACTAACCGTAGCATGGAGCTTTCGTCTTTGAACAACGTAAGGCCTATAAAATGCTGGTAAACCCAAAAGGCCATTCTCTATATCTAATAACTTAGCACATCCTTCAGTTAATAATATGTTACCTGTATGTAGATGCCCATAAGGTAATCCTTTTTCATGTAAAAAATTTAGTGCCTCCAAAATCTGTAATATGATACTTTAAATTAGCAATTATAAATTTTAATATTTGTTTTTTTACCTTGAAGGTCAATATTTACTAACCTGATAACCATAAGTAGTAATTTCAGACAGTGTGAGTGACTTAACTTGTTTTGGATTTCCATATTTTTTTATAAACGACTGCTTAGGTTTGGTCATACAAAGTATATCACGCAATGTACCCATTGAACAAAAATTTCTTATCATAAGAGCTCCATTCTCTGTTACATGCTGGTGTACCATTGGTTCGATGTAATTATGTTTCAAAGTGCCTAGACTCTTGAAAACTCCTTGCATGTCTTTATCCTGAAGATGCTTATCTGGTCCAAATTCTACCCAAGCAAGCAAATATTCTTGCTTTGGATGTTGACGATTCTTAACAGTATAGTAATATTTTTTTAACCGCCATCCCATATCAGGAATAGCTTTTCCAACTTCAAAATTAGCATCACTGCGTAAAGCTAGTGACACTTGCTGTAGTGCTATTTCTATAAAAGAAGAAAAAATTATACGCACGTATGTAAAATATACAAATAAACAATATTTTGAATCTAATTTACCATGTAATGGCGTTGTATAATTATCAGGATCTAAAAATTTTTTCATGGGAAGAGATGATGCCAATATGGGATTCATTAGTACAATATTTAAATAATTCTGTAAAGCTAGTTGACGTTGAGCTATAAAGTTAGGCTCCATGTTCCCAATGATCTTTTTAGGAGGTAATGGCAAGTCAATGCCTGATACTGACAAAACTGCATTAAGCTGAACAAAGTCATTGTAACGTCTGCTCACTCTCCACGTTTTTTCAGGTAGAGGACCACGTTGTACTCTAATCACATACTCCTATATAAACAATAAAGGAACTATCAAATATAAACATTAAAACTTATCTAATCAAAACTAAACTAATCAAGATTATGCTTGTTATTATACTAAATAAAAAAAATACATTATAAAATCAATATAGAAAATAAGCCATAACAACAACTAGTAACAATTACTAAATCGTATTAAATGAGCAACTTACCGTATGTCCGTCGATTGTTCTAGCATTTTCAATAACACTTGTCAGCTTTTCTGTATCATCTAGCAATATTTTATTTGTATACCTCTTCTCAAATAAAGCCATTGATTGATACTAATCCGATGAAACGCAGAGCCCGTAAGAGGCGATCTGCGATAATAAACCCCACGCGTAACCAAACATGACGTGCTTCAGCTTCATTTCAGCATTGGTAAGCGTAAATTCAGTGATAATATCGTCCTCACTGTTATCGGATACAGCCTCTAAAGTGTTAATTTCGCTGACAATTACATACGTGATTTAGTTAGAACACCAACTCGTAAAAACTATCTTATTATTCGGTCGCCCACTAATGTCACAAGTGAGAACTATTACCTACTACTACCTGTTCTAAATAAAACGCAACTTGCAAACAGATGGATTATAGATAATTCACGATTATAAGTAATTTGTCTTTCTTTGATTATATCATGTACATAACGAGGATATTATTATTAAATTATTTTTCTAAATAATATTTAGATTAAAATTGAAATGTTTTTAAGCTTCGCCCGTGTATACGCTTTGTATCAAAAGTCATCAAAAGGTTAATGAAAATTAGATGATAAAGAGAGAGAGAGAGAGAGAGAGAGAGAATCTGTGCTAGGGACCCTATAGGAGGGACGCGCCAAAGAATTTTGGGGAACAGGAACTTATGTAGTCATGTGATTACGCGCGAATGAATCAAACATTTTAAATAGTATAAAAGTTGTATATAGTATAGTGAATAGTGGTGAATTGGTTTGAAAAAATTATGAAATAATGAATTGCATCAAATATAGAAAAAAAATGAACCATATTTAATGATAATTAAAAATTTATATTAAAATAGAATAGGTTACACAACAAAATTATTATAAATTCAAAAAGAAAGATTCAATTAAGTTTGATTTGATAAAAGGCATTACAGTATTTTGAAATTTCAAAACAATTTGTAGAAATTTATACAATTTTGATAAATACAATTATCTACTATATATATTATATTTACAATTATTTTAATCATTCGTACAATTTGTTTTTAACCCCTTAACCTACGATTTATGTTCGAAAATTTAGGGCCGAAAACGTAAACAAGTTCACGCAGCCTTCGAGCTATTCGCATGACTTGAGTAATACACTGATCGAGCAAAACGTAAATATTATGGGCATCGCTCGTTGTAGGAAGGTCGCGGTTAGTAAATAACACAGACAGAGCTCGTGATGTATTCCTATTATCTTTTCGTATCGTGATCATCGTACTACGGGCTATGCCCGTAGTATTTACGTTTGGCCCGATCATTGTACACGGGCTATGCCCGTAGTTTTAGGTTAAGGGGTTAATTTCCAATATTAATAAGTCAGCTAGAATTCCTGGGTATTATATCTTCATAACTATCCACAGCCATTACTTATACATACTAAAAATAAACATGGCTGCGAAATTTTCAGTCAATAGCAACTCCAGCAGTATGTATGGCGCGTCCCTCCTAAAGGATCTCTACACTGTGCTAGGGACCCTATAGGAGGGACGCGCTATATACATTGCTGGGGGACAGGAACTCGTGTAGTCACTTGATTGCGCGCGAATGATTCAAACATTTTAGTCTGTAAACAAACGATAAGTTATAGGTTAGGTTTGTACATTTATACTTGTAATTATTAAATGAGTAAATGAAACTTACACTTAGAAAACTACTAAAAAAAACAAAACAATTAAACATAAATATCACAATAAAAACTATAAGTATTCCAAACTGAAACTAACCACAGCTGTTAATACATACTAATGATAAACATGGCTGCGCGATGCAACGGAAGCTGTCCCCCCACATTTTCAGCCTTGCAATCTACATGGCGCGTCCCTCCTATAGGATCCCTACAGACTGAGGCACCACCTAGTGGTATATATTGAAAGTTTGTGAAAGTATTTATGTTCACAATATTGGTGTCACTGTATTTTATCTTCATAAGTTAATATTACAAGAATGGTATTTACTGGAGTGTTTACAGTATGTAATGTTTTATTAATCTTCCCTGAAATAATAAATTAACGATGTTTATTAAACCGTTTAAAGTAAAATCTAATAACCAATTAAAGGGTACTGAAAGGTTAGTCTGAAAATTATTTTTTATTAATATTTATGTATCTTATGTTATTATTATTATGTATAAATATAAAATAACTTGATCCTTGCTATTGCCTTCAGGAAAAAATTGTGCGAGTATGTACTTATTAAATATCCATCTCTAACAGAAGAAGCAGTACAGGTTTTATTACCTAAAAAAGAATCAATTACTGTTATGAGGATAGTAACTCACAATGGTCAACTATGTAAATTGTATTGCGTTGCAAAAATACCAATGTTCTTTCAATTAGAAACAGATTTGTCTATGTTTTTTCCAACGATTTACACATTATGGTATCATCCACAATTATTATACGTTTTTACTATGCGTATTCAAGTATTACCAAAATTGGCAGAAGGGGCAGATTTGATGTTACCTGGACTAGTAGTAAAAGAACCAATAACATTCTATTCTTATGGTAAATTAGAAAAAGGTACTCCAGTATCAGTGAACACAGAAGAAAATCAGGTATTACTTTTTTAATAGAGATAATAAGGAACATAAGTATGAATAATTAATTGAGTAAAATTTATAACAGGCGCCAGTAGCTATTGGTATTACTACACTCTCCAGTGAAGACATGTATTTATCTGCGGGTCGTGGAAAATGTATACAAATTTATCATGTAATGGGTGATACTCTTTGTCAACTAGGAAAATCACCTCCTAGACCTGACCTTGGTCTTCCAAATGTTTGTAAAGAGGATCGGTTAGATGAGAATGAAAAGGATAATGAAAAATTAGAAATAACAAAAAATGATTCTGATGATGCCACTTCTGAGCCACTGTCTAATTTAATTGATGAATTACAAATTGATGACAATGATAGCGCTAGTAAAGTAGACTCCATATCTGAGGTAAATATGTGTATATTTTAAAATCTTTTTATACTAAAATATACATATACAGGGTGTCCCATAACTGTATTCACAATTGTTCAAGTACTTGCGATAATCTGACAAAAAAATAGTTTCAACAAAAGTTGATCTGTTTTTGATTGGCTATAAAGTGTAAAAACAGTTTAAAAACATATTTTTTTTGTTTTTTGAGACTACCTTTGTTTTTTTAAATGACACTCTATATTTTTGATCTTACAGTATTATGGCCCGTATTAATACGAATTCAACGAACTAGTATACCATGATCTATAGATGACCTTGAAAACAAAGAAATGAATAGAAATGGGCGATAATAACTTGTATTTATTATTAAAATACTCGAAATAAATTCAATTCAGGAAGTTTGACTAATATTGTGTTACTAGAAACTTAATTATTAACAGTTGATTATTCACAAGAAAGAAAAAATTTCTATTAACACTTTATAATCCGTACATTTCATCAAAATTTTTTCGCTTGATGCCGGTAGGACTGAATTTTAAGGTTATCCAAAGATCATGGTATACTAGTTCCTTGAATTCGTATTAATACGGGCCATAATACTGTAAGGTTAAAAATATAGAGTGTCATTTAAAAAAACAAAGATAATCTCAAAAAACAAAAAAAATATGTTTTTAAACTTTTTTTTTACACTTTATAGCCAATCAAAAACAGATCAACTTTTGTTGAAACTATTTTTTTGTCAAATTATCGCAAATACTTGAATAATCGTGAATACAGTTATATGGGACACTGTATATATATTTACAATTCTATATTATAAAAATTTAAATTTTACTTTATATGTAGGATATTATAAATAAATCAGAAGAACAAGAAGAAAAAGACCGTATTTCTGAATTCTTAAATGTCACAAAAGAAATGGATGAATTATTAGAATATTGCTTTTTGAAAGCATGTAAAACAACACTGAAAGTCACCGATCTGCCCATATTAACCTCTACTTTTTTCAAAAATCATTTACTAATGGCCTGTCCATCAGATAAAAATATAGATATAAAAAAATCACGTTACAAGAAACTATCTGTTTTTTTAGCACATATGAAGGCTAAAGGACTTATTAATACTTCTGTGACAAAAGGAGTAGAAAGTATTTTATTAGTGGAGGTATAATTTGCAATACTTAATGTAAATTTTGTTGAAATACTTGTTAATAGCTATTGTTCTTTATTGTATCATCTTTTTTCATTTAGTTTAAGCATCCTTTAGTGAAAGAATTAATTGTTACTGAAACGTCAGCTCCACCAGAACCAGTTGTTTCAAATACAGTTGGCGTATCAGATTGCTATAAAGTAACTAGTGATGTTACACCAATATTATCATTATATGGATACGAGTAAGTAAATAACTAATATTTTAGGCAATTATTGTCTTATTGCGATACAATATTTGCACAAAGCACTATCTTTTGTACAGAACAGATGTCAAGAAATTTTCATCATACTCGATTACGCTTTATTATATGAAAAATTGTTGTATATATTTTCCTGTAATGTGATGATTACAGAAAAGGCGACACTATAGAAAGACGGCAAATCAGAGAGTGTTTTACAAAATATATCAAAAAAGAAAATCTTCAAGATGGGAAGTGAGTAAAAAAGAAATAATTTTTAAAATAACCTTGGTGTATAATACTGTCAATATTTTTTAGAATTTTGAAGTTAAATCCACAACTTGCTGGAATTTTAAGAACTAAAGAACATCAAGAAACCTTATCAGTTGAGGATGGAATTAATAAGTTTGTAGGTCGTATGACGCATATGCACCAAATAACCTTAGCGGGTACAACGATCTTACATAAAGGAAAATTAGAACCAATTGATATGAGAGTAACCATGAGATCGGGAGGAAAGAAAGTGAGTTAATGTACAGTAGAAACATGAAACATAAAAAATGGATGATATTTTATTTTAATACCATATATAAAATTTAAGGTGACATTGGTAAATAATCTAGAAGCATTTGGAATAAATTCTAAAGACTTTAGTAAAGAATGTCAAAATATTGGCGCAAGTGCTACAATTATTGATGATCCTGGGAAGAAAACTCCAAGCGTTCTAGTACAAGGAAATCAAATCTTATATGTCTACAAATTATTAACAGGTATGAGATTATTATATCTAGATAATAGTTATTTGTTGAAAGTACTATACTATCAATTAAAAATTTTAATTTTTAGACAAATATGGAATAAAAAAGACTTATATTCGAGGTTTGGAATTTGCACCGAAAAAAAATGCCAATAAAAAGAAATAAACTTTCTGTGTTAATAAAATACATTTCAATATCATAACAAAAAAAAAATTAAATATAATGTATCTTCATAAATGTGATTAAAGCCAGTCTGATTCTTTACACGAATAGATTAGTTTTTAAATTTATAATTTTCCACATGAAATACATATTATAGTTTTGTCCAGAATGCATATTTTATTTAATAATGAAATTATAAGTCCTGTAATTATACATTTTCTAAAAACTAAATAAGTTTATGTATGTTTTAAAATATATATTTATATGTGTAGCAAATAAAAATGCATGAAATTAACGATAAAATATACATTTAAAATAAAAACTTAATCTTATAACCAATTATCACTCTTTAAAGATTTGGAAAGTAATTGACATCGGTTAAAGTTTGTTAATATAATTTATTGTATATCGAGGTTTCAACATGGAAAAGTACAAATATTGCAATATAGGGCCCGCGAGTTCTCCTCGGATAGGAGGGAGGGAGGGAGAGAGGGAGAGAGAGGGATGTCAAGTTAAAGGATGGGACAAGACATCGCGACAAAATATACGCACGTGTCTCTCGAAATGTTTTTTCTTTTCGCGCCTATACTTCCAATTTTAAATCACATTCATATTACGATATTATTGTTTTTTCTTCTTCGTTCTTTCCTGGTATTATTCGCTCTTATTATATATATATTCTGTTCGACGAGGAATAAAATCATTTTTAACGGAAGAGACGAACACGCGGTTCTCGTTCGTTTGATTGTTTTATATCTCGGTGAATGAGTGAGTGCATACATGCGTATGTATAAACAAATAGTGTAAGTATACATACGGTTCCTTTCATTTCTTATTTTTTAATATTTTTTTTGTTTTTTTAGTTTTCTTTTTTGGATCAAAGGAAGATTCCCTCCTCTCCATGGCCCTCGCATATATTTAATACTCATTTTGTTCATTTTTTTTCTTTTTGTTCTCTCTCTCTCTCATCCTACGCACGCGTGCATCACGTAGTGATTCTTATTTAATTTTTTATTTTTTTATTTTTTTATTTTTTTCATTATTCAATTATTCGAAACGCGCGCGTGCGTATCGTTACTATTGTTTTCATGATCATCATAATCGTCATCATCATTCCATTCTCATTAACTACCAATGGTGCTCCGACAGTCGTAGCGCGTGAACGTTTCTCGCACAGCAATCGACCCCCTTTTTTTCATTTTTCTTTTTTTTTTTTTCATTAGCTTCTCGTCTTACGAGTACGCTCGATATCGATAAAGAGAAGGTTCAATATCTTATAGATAGATTTTCGGTTAATCTCTATGCGATTCAAAAACTTATATACATACACGTGTAAGTATATATATATATATATATATATATATATATATATATATATATATATACACGTACTTAAATATGTATATTTTCGGATACGCAATGTGTATGCGTTGTTCGTGAATTTACGATTTTTTTTCTTCTATCTAGCTAGTTAGCTTCGAGAGATGAACTTATGTCGATCCGTGGGCGGAACCGTGCTGCGAGGATATTCGTAATCCTCGTGCTTTCCAAAAAACTCTCATGAGTACGCGCGAATAAACGACAAAAATCCGGAACATTTAGAAAAATCGTTAAGAGGAATGCACAGCATAACGTCTGAATGTTATTTTACTCCGATAATCTGCAATTCTTACATTTACATATTTTTCGATGATGTTCCTCTTTTACGATCTTAATATGTATTATATATAGTATTCTTTTTTTTCAGAAAGAAGGATCGACGAAGTTGCGCGCGAAAGCTTATTTATACGTTAATCGAACGAATTCTCTGTAATTAATTAATTAGGGCGCATTCCCGAAGCTAATCATGCTACAAAAGATATCTTATACTGGGCTCATACTGATCAGAGTTGTTTGCATCTTATCCAAAACTAGAATGTGTAAACCAACTCGCGAATAGTTTGCTAGCAGATTACAAACATTGTTTGTTCGGTGTTTTACGGTTAATTCGCTGTTTATCTCGCTCATATACAATATTCGATCAACGTGTAAGAATTTATTGTAACGCCTTTGTAACGCCTGCAAGATTCCTTGGATTAACGAACAAGTCCTTTGATGTGTACTGCATCAGTATAACGAGCACTGTTCGCTAAAGTGCCTACACGCTGCTGATGAATATAATTTACGATAAGCAGGGTGGACCCAGTATTATATATCGTCGACGCAATAACGAATCTTGCATGTTAAATATGCCATACGTATGTTTAATACGTATCAACTAACATCTATTACCAGAAATCGCTATTTTGTTGGATGGTCACATAAACATTCAAATTGCTTTCAATTTACCGAAAACTTTATATCAAATCGAACGGATCGATCGCTTTGTAATAAACGATTTCCTTTTTTTCTCTTTTCTTGTTTTTTCTTTTTTTTTAAATTTTAAATTAACGGAGCGACATACAACTGTGGGGGAGTACCTCTACTTGATTCTCTTCTTTCTTTCGCATCCTCTCGTTCTCTCTCTCTCTCTCTTTCTCTCTGTTTCATACTTTTTCATTCTCTCACACTCTCATCAAATTTTCATTTTTTTTTTGGAACATGGGCTACTTTGTTATTTCTGCTCGTTACCCCCATCGCGATCATAATGATCGTAGTCTTATAATCACTATCGATTTTGTATCTCATATTTTCGTTCGTTCTCTCTTTCATTCAGTCTCTTTCTCTCTCTCTCTCGCTCTCTCTTTCTCTCTCTCACTCTCTTTCTGTCACTTTTGTTTGCGTTTGGAATTTCCATCATTTTTTATGCAACACATAATGCGACTAGATAGTACAGGTTAATTAATAATTAATATCATTAGTTATACAATAATAACATATGACTAGACAATGCAAGATAATAATTATATCATAAATAGTAATAATCATGGATCGCAATTTGTATCAACAATGTGATGACGCGCACGTGTTTTGAGAAATGTAAAATATTGTATATGTATGTCATCTGTTCTGTCTTCGCGTTGTGTTTTTCATGTCTCTTTTTTTATCTTTGCTGCGCGTTTTGTATAATATATGTATGCATTTTTTGTTGATTTCTCCCTTATGTTGCACACTATGGACTCTTTTTAATAAGGAATCGTATATATGCATATTGTGTTCCTTTGTGTTTTGACGTGTATGAACGTATATGTCGTGTGCTGCGTGGGTGCGTACGTGCGTGAGTTTGTATCTGATGTATGCATGTGTAACTGTGTGTGTTTGTGTGTATATGCATCGCGTCGAGTATTATTATACACGAGCGCGCGCACAATTTCTACATAGCACAGAAAATTTACACCACCGAGTAAAATATATCGTCGATCGTTCTAGTTTTTCCTATTTTTCGTGACGGTCATTAACTTGTCGTCATTGCGGTAACGAAACACATGATCATCGTATCCTATTACGAGATGTATATTTATTGTGTTTTATAAAACGGAAAGATATTTTTCTTTTCTTTCTCGTGCGAATATGCATAGCAGTCGATCATCTTCTTTTTTTTCTTTCTGTTTCTCTCCTCCTTTCTTCGTTTATATCTATCTGTAGTTTTTTTTTCTTTTTTTTTCTTTTATCCCATAGATCGACAACCGCAATGATTTGCAACGAGAAAAATAAGAATCCGTCGTATCCTTATTCGCCGTTAACATACATAATGTAAATTACCTTAAAAATGGTTAAAAGTACGATTATAAATGTATACGGAGGAAGCTTCGTGCACTAGATTTCGGATAATCGATCCTTTATATGTACATCGATATTTCCAATACGAGAGTCTGAGCATTCGCAGTGTGGATCAATATTATAATATAATCGTTATCTTTCGATGATCTCTTTCACGGTCTTCGAGCTTTCGCGCTCAATTCTTTTCGAAGAAGCAACAGTGTGCTCGCGTGTAATTAAATTTATTTTCTTATCCTTTTCTTATCTTTTTTCTTTTTTTTATTTATTATTATTATTTACTTTTCTTTTCTCCCTTCAGCGATATAAGAAGTAAACGTTGGCTCCTCCTCCTTCTCCTCCTCTTCTTAATCTCTAATATCTTTTTTTTCCTACCCCTTTCGTTTCCCTGCTCATTTTGGTAATCGTGATTGATCGATCAATCGATTTATTTGTCGTGCGAGTCGCACACAACAAGAAGTTATCGCTAATGATTATTAAGATTGCAATATTGATTGAAACGGCTCGCAATGAAACGGCTCACGAGCGTCCCATTTCTTCTGACCGTATGAGAGACTGTATTCTTATACAGTGTATTCTTATGTAGACTGTATTCAGAGACTGTATTCTTATGTAGTAAAATTTTTCCTAACACACATATGTGTAGGTATGTCATACGTGTAAGCAAATACTTATGCATCTGTGAAACGATGATGAACCTGTTTTTTTCGAATAATGATCTCGTTATAATATTAAATTTCAATTCGAATAAATGAGTACATTATTCAAATCCAACCATTATAAACAAATATCGCGTGCACGTTAGATGCGTCATTATCGTTCAAACAATTTCTTATAGATCAATTCGAATAGACGCAATCACCGAAACTATTGATATTTAATTTATTAATTCCCTCTTTCTTTAAATTTCTTAGTTTTTTTACTTTCACATATTCTCTTCTTGTTCTCTTTCTCTCTTTCTTTCTTTCTTTCTTTCTCTGTCACTCTCACGCACGCTCATCTTACATTCAAATAATTCAATTAGCTCATTTTTTCATAAGTTATCGACAATCGTCATGTGCAAAATTGTGCAAATGAGGAATGTATACGATCTCTTGGTAACTATCAACTACAGTTTCCGGTGTTTGCTTGTGTTTAATGTTTGTATATATATATATATACGTTATCAATGTTAATATACGTTATGATTTTTGTGTGTAACCCTCGAAGTGACGTGTTATTTTTTTCCTTTCGATGATTCGTTTTCAATCAATATCATTATCATTACTATTACTATTATTATTATTATTATTATTATTATTATTATTATTATTATTATTATTATTATTATTATTATTATTATTATTATTAT